TCTATGGTCAGAGTCATAGAGTCACATGGTGTAATTTTAATCTGTGCAGGGTTGAGGAGGGCCTGTTGGACTTCATTTTGTTCTTCTCAGGCAAATAATTTTCAAAGTCACTTGAATGGCTAAACAGATTGCGGCCCATGGATGTAACGGAATAATCCTGTCGTGAAAGCAAGGATGGATCTATATGATAAATACAGAGAAATGTGGAAAGACTTAACCCAAATGATGAAAAATGAAGGAAACCAAATCAGGAAAACAATATGCACAATGACAATAAAAATACAAATGGAAAGGACAATCACAAAACAATGAAATTGAATATTTCAAAATTATAAAGAACAAACTCAGCCCAAAGAAATCCTGTATGAAGACACCTTTGCAGAAGTGCAAAACATTGCAAATGATGTTAAATCTTTTTCAATGTGTTAGTTGGTTTTGTTGAATTTTTCCTCTTCCTCCTTTTCATTTAAAAATTCTTTTTTTTTAAATAATGTATGACTCTCTGGGAGTGGAAATGAAGGGATATGGGGGAAATCTAGACAATGTAAAGACAAAAGAAATTTTTGAAAATCTATTTAAAAATAAATAAGCATCAATAAACAACAGTATTAGCAGAAATTAATAATGTTCTCTAGACCTCTGCCAGTTGTATAACCTTGAAGATGTGATTTGCTGTTGAACATCATCTGTGAAAGTACCCACCTGTTCCTTTCACATCTTTTTTTTTTTTAATCAAAGATACCTTCCATACACGCAGGCACCACTTTAGAGAAGGGAAGGTCTTAGAGAGGGAAAAAGAGGCCTATGAGTCAGAAGTTGGGGATTTACTCTTGGTCATCTTTATTCTGAGGGTAGAAACACCATCTATGTTCTTTTGCACTCCTTTGGAATTCTGTCTCTCAGAGATCCCTTGAGTGCCTTTAGAATTGTTCCATCTTCAGGACAGATTCCACCTATGTATATAATTTGATCAGATCTGGATAATCTTCTCAATTGTATCTTCTGAAATGTCATTGCCACTCTCTCCATGGCACATCAGGTCTGACAATTCCTGATTGTCACTAATGAAAATTGCTAACAATAAAAACCGTATCAGGACCACTCAATTTCATGCCTATTTGTTGTTGTCCTTCCAATCTGATCTACAAATGCTCTCAGGTTGAGCTGGCTTTGCTGAATCTTATCTGTCTTTTTTTTTTCCCCAATAACTTGTGAATCAATACTACTTATAGTTTTCTACCATCCTCCCCTCTGCTGATTTGCAGATGAGCTTATATTCTGAGCTGATGTTCACGACCACCATGTCTCTTTGCTTGACAAGAAGATTAAGTATTTGTTGGCTGAGGCTGATTCTGGGCTCTTTCAGTCTTCTCATTGGAGCTATTATTTTGCTTTGGTTAAACTTCTCTGAAAAATTGGGGACAGTGAGAATCAATGCCTTCACTTTTGACCACTTTTTTCTTTTTCTTGAAGAAGACTAGTTAATTAATTGGGGCTACTGTCATAATATGCAAAACATTATTCCCCTCTTTACCCCAGGATCATCCCAGGATTTAGAGCTGGAATAGATCTTGGAGGCCATCCCCTTCATTTTAGAGATGAGCAAGCTGAAGCCCCCAAAGGTTACATGACTTGACCGAGGTCAGACAGATACTAACAGAGGCAGAATTTTTTGGGGGGGGCTAGGCAATGGGGTTAAGTGACTTGCCCAGGGTCACACAGCTAGTTAAGTGTTATGTGTCTGAGGCCAGATTTGAACTCAGGTCCTCCTGACTCCAAAGCCAGTGCTCTATCCACTGTGCCACCTAGCTGCCCTCAGAGGCAGAATTTAAACACTGGTCCTCTACCTTCAAACTCATTATTCTTGCCACTGTATCATGCTATCTAATTTAGAATTTGCTTAACCAGTCAATGATTTGACTATACACCAGACTGGTTCTGAAGTATCTGGATTATAGCAAAAGATAAAATTTATACTTAGGCTGGGTCATTCACGGCAGTGGGGTTGAGGAGTCCTGGTGAAGGAGGAGCTAGGACCAAAGAATCAGAGCAAATAGAAATCAAGAGAGTCAGAGCCACAATGGTGGTGGAGGCCAGATGAGCAAAAAGAAAGAGGAAAAAAAAGAAAAAAAAATAATATTGGGAGCAAAGCAAGGTGGGAAGTTCAATGCCAAAGCTGAGAGAGCTTTAGGAGTTGGGTGGCATAGCTCAAGATAGGTTAGACAAAAGATTGGATGGATGGTCAGCAACTGGGAGATAATCAGAAACAAAGAAAACCCCATAAGAGTAGGGCAAGCCAGGCAGATAGCCTGGCAGAAGAACTAATGTATGGCAACAGCAATCACAAAAAGAACTTAATATTGAAGACACCTGATTTCTTAGCCTGAGCTATCTTTATTCTTCTTTCATCCTAATAAGAGCCAACCCCAAGCAAGCTCAGCCTACGGTCGCATGGATCATGTTAAATAAAAGCAACTGGCTAAGTAATGAGGGCAAAAAGTATATGGCACATAAGGTTCTTACCAAACATGATTTCCTGACACCCAGTCTTCCTGGACATTTTGGACATTGCTGCCAGACTGATTACCCACAATGGTTCACCCTATCATTGACTAATCCCTTGAGCCCATCCGTGTGTGCAAGGCAAGAATGGACCAACAAGTTACTCCTACAATCCCTAAGTGGTCAAGGAGCCTGGATTTAAGATCAGGAAGATAGGCAGCCCTCTGGTGTCATAGATTGCTTCTCAATTTCAAGCACGGACAAGGATACAGTCAAGACTCAGGAAGGGTGGGACCAGTGCTAGGTATATTAAGAGGACCACCTCACTGTTCTCCAATGTTCCACACCTATTTTCGTTCCCTAGTATCATTACTTACTATTTTAATGACCAGACTACCTTGCTCGTTCACTTCAGTACATCATGTTCTATTACTCATAGTTCTTAATCTGTCTGCTGTTTCTCGTCTTGTATTTGGGTAGTTTGCTGTTTCTCCTTAAGCACTGGCCCCATATTTGCCTTACTGAAAATTTGTTTTTGCTCCCTGCTACGCCTGCCAAGTTATCTTTGTGTTTATATGTTTATTTTTATGTAATTTTGTATATATTATAAATCTACCTGCAGCCTTCCTCACTAGAATATAAGCTACTTGAGGGTAGAGAATGTTTCTCTTTTGTCTTTTTATTCCCAGTTCTTATAGCTGTCTTGTAGTAGATGCTTAATAAATACTTGTTTCATTCTAACCAGACTGAGACTTCCATTGTTATTCCCAAGTCCCTATCTCCCTACTAAGAGACAGGAGGTAGCTGTGTGGACATGTAAGGTGGCAAACTGGAAGTGTGTTGTCCATCTTAAGTACAAGTCTAAGATGTGACAGAGCCCACCAAGGATCACTATTGATGGTACTATTGCTGTTTTTGTTGTTTGTCCTTCATTCTCGAAATGGACCATGGAATCAGCAAGGTGATGCCAGGACTTGCAAGTGAATTGGATTTAAGTGAGGGAGGGCTGTGCAAAGTCTGGAAGGAATCTGACTGCATTTCAGGGATTGGGAACTTCTGGGTAGGAAAGTGAAGACCCTGGTCCTACACAAAGATAGTGTTTCTTGTTGAACAAGAAAGAGTAGGATACAGAAAGTGAACAGATATTCAGACATGATATTATGGAAATACATTGCATGTGTATAATCTATATCAAATTGCTTGCTTTCTCAGAGAGGGGAGAGGAAAGGGAGTGAAACAGAGAATTTGGAATTCAAAAAGTTTTTTTAACTAATGTTAAAATTGCTTTTACATGTAATTGGAAAAAATAAAATATTGTTAAAAAAAACCTTAAAAAGAACTCAACTCATAGACGTAGTGTCAATGGGGAGGATATGGTTAACTATGATGTATAATAATAGAGGAACAGAGGCGCACCCATGAAGACTGAGAGATTGGCCAGAGACTTGCCAAATAGCAAAAGAACTTTAAATTCAATGTTGCACAGAATAGGAAAAAATTGCACCTTTTGGCCAAGAGGGCAATCAAGATGGTGAATTGTCTGCAAGCCATGGCCTTTGAGAAACAGCTGAAGGATTAAGGCAAGGATTCTTAACTCAGAGGCCATGGACTTTAATATATATATATATATATGTATATGTATATATTATATATTACATTATATATAATTTCCCTTGTAATCTTATGTATTTTATTTCAAGCCTTCAAAACTATTCTTCTGAGAATGATTCCTTAGGTTTCACCAGCTTGCCAAAGGGGTCCATAACAGAAAAAAAAGTAAAGACAACCTGCCTCAGAGGGATTTTAGCCTTGTCGTTCCCACTGCCACACCCACCCTGGCCAAGTCCTATTCCATAATAAGAGTACATATTGTTCCTAATCCTTAAATATCTGGACCCTAAGGACCCTTGGTTGGAGAATAGGGGAGGCCCCCTTGAGTTACAGATCTGGCCATCTTCCGGAGAAAATTCAAATTTCCTGACCCATCCAGTTCCTTTCTTCCTGCCTCCAAAGCTGGCCCTAGAATTGATCTCTGGTCCCCAGACTCTCCATCCCTCCCAGGCCCAGTGTTTTGCTCTATTGTTCTCCTGAGGGGCTGGGTCACTGGTGATCTGGGCTACCCCACCCTTAGAACCAAGCCCTGGCAAAGTAATTCTCCCAACTCCAGCTGCATCCTAAATAGGCCCCACATTTTGGGAGTTGGGGATCAGAAATGCTGGTTCCTCAACAGATATGCACCCCGTCTCCACTAAGCTGTAATAAAGAGAAACTTAGCATAGCTCCAGAATGCCAGCTGGCATTCACACTGAGACACACAGGTACCTACTGATCTAAGACTGTGTAGTCAATGAAAAGCAGCTGGAGAGGTAGGCGCTTCCTGGGAGCACTAGAAGGTAGCTACATAACATATTTCTGACCCTTAAAAAAGTAGCAAGATGGCACCCTACATCATCCCATTTCACTTTAAGAACTATTTCTGTCTGGAGTGAAGAATGCACCTGGCTTACTTTCCGAGAGCATGGTCTCCTGGGGGCTCACAGGGCTGGCACTCTGCGATTCCCTGTGTGTGGAAGATGCTCGGAGGGTCACCATTCCTTTTCCAGTGCAAATTTTGGTAGGGTCCATGTCTGGAAAGAAAAGACCCAGAGTAGAAAACTGAAAAATGCAAAACAGAAGCCGGGTAGAGTTGGCTAAGGAAACAGTAACAGATTGGAAGTCAGAGGAACAAACTTACACCCCTGTGAATCCTTCAAACACTTTTACTGATGCAAATTAACCATTGTCTACAAATCTCTCCTTGGGAGGCTTTCACAGTGTATTTGTTGAAGGTGGGGGTTGGGTCAGGAATATCAAGGCAAACTGTGAAATCCAAATAAATGTAGGACCCCTATAGAGAGCTAAATCAGTTTTTAAAACGTAAACATGTTTATTCCCTTGATGAAATTCATTTTAGGTCTGTGTTTTCTCTATTGAGATTGAGAAAGGACTGAATAAGATTCTTCACGCTTCACGACCATCCTTTTAATTTGTTAGAGCAGGTCATGCCTGACTTGTCTAGTCCAAGAAATACCCATCATTCTTTGGAGTTTTTGGTTGGGAAAAGAAACATCTCTTAGGACCAGATAGCCAAGATCCTGGATAAGACTAAACAGAAAAGAAGTGTCACCTGTGGAAAAAAAAATGCATCATGTTCAAAGGTGTTAATGGTTTTCCCAAATGAAGAGAATTAGTGGAATAATGTCACTTAAAAGAAAATATCTAGAAACCCCAAACCTTCCAAACCCGTCTGAGCACAAGCCCGAAATGCCATGATCTTTTGTCTCTGTTTATTTTCATACAGTCTTAAGCTGTCCCCAAACACCTTTAAGAATCATCTGACTTGGAAAGACTTAAAAAGAGGCCACAATAAATTTGGTCTGAATTGATCATGACCTGAGGCAGACAGGTTTAGAAGGTTAGGTTGATTCTGTTCGAAAAAGGTTGAGTTGCAGTCAGTTTCAATTGCCTTCGAAGCCTCATTCTCTGCTTTGTCTCTATTCCCTTTTCTGACCCAAGATCTGAGAGGGGATTGAGATTCATTTCAGGGAGTTTGCATTGAGTTGGAGTGAGGGGTCACTGGTCCATCCAACACAATTCCCCTTCCCAACCCCAGGTCAGAGAAAAATGAGACCTATTTCTATTCTGCTTTTGACTCAGAAGAGTCCATTTTCTGATTTCCAATGAGAAGCTGATTTTACTGTGAGTCAGGATAGATCTGCACAGCAGATACCTCATCCAAATTCAAGTAAAACATTGCTGGCTCTCATTTAAAAAAAAAAAAAGCCAGGGGGAGCATGGGAAAGTTCGGTCAATTTATAGGTTAACCAATTAGGAAATGGATTTGCTCTGCCCTTTGGAATGATATAAACTTCGACAAATGTCTATGGCCTTACCACATACCTGTCTCTGCACAATGTAAGACTGGTGGTTGATTTACTTTAGCACATTTCCTGGCACTCACAACCTGGACGTGAGAGGTAGGAAATCATGGTAGCCTTAAGAGCAAGTAAAGCAAATGTGCTTTGGGTAATGTCCTAATGGGCATGGCTATGGCTTGGTACCTACAAGAGACAAGTCTAGACAATCACTAGGGCAGGCCTGGGGTGGGAGGTTTGGGGTGGGGGTGAAGAACCAGAGTAGTCCCTCCAGACTCAGCCCCGTGCAGAAGATTCCTGGAAGACCCCACTAGTTTTGCACCCAGACTGGAATTCCATATCTAATATAGGAAAAATGAGAGATGCTGGGTAGTACTAAGTGTCTCAGACCATCAGATCCACCCTAAGGTTCATTTTGAACCCCTGACCCAACCCCAAAACTGAACCACCTTCTCAAGGACAAAGAATTTTTCATTCTCTTGGTTATTGTCAGAACTTTGCTGGCTCGTGGAAATACACACACACACACACACATACACACACACACATTCACACATACCCTTATGTGGAGAACAAAATTGAAGGGAATAAGAGACAGACTGACAGAGAAAAGGAGAAAGAGGAAAAAGCATCTTCAGCATGCAAAGAAGAAAGTGAAGACTAAGCCTAAAAGTGTCTTAGAATGGATTAAAAAGTAAAAACACCCACGATCTGGAGGGGGGGGGGGGGATAGGGGGGGGGGGTGGAGAAGAAACTGAACCACCATGCCCACAGAGAGGAGAGATACCTGTAGGGAGGACTAGGCCAGAAGAGTTTGTCACTTTCTTCACAGGAATTATTTTAACAGCAGAAATAGAGCGTGCACGTAAAGGGTCATCAGTAGCTGAAAACACAAAAGGGCAAATGGTGCACCCAAAAGAACATTTGGGAAACATTCAGGCACTTGAGGAAATCAGCAGTGACAATAGGAGGAAACTGCATATACACACACACACAGAGAACAATTCTAAGAGCAGGAGATGCAACAAGTAAAAATAACTCCCTTTCCCTGGTGATCCCATGCATTAAAGCTGGGGAATCCTCCATACAACACCCACCCAAATGCAGTCAGCTCCCAGTGCAAAGTACAGCAGGAAGGTGATAGACAACGGTGGTCAATGGGAGGGGAGTGCAATCCTGCCCTAGAACATGGCGTCCTACCAGAGGAGGCTCCACAACATCTGTGATATCCATACACACCACAACCACCCCAGTTTGGGCCCCCATCACCTCTCACCTGAACTGCTTCAATATTTAATATTCTACTGGGTCTCCTCCAAATAGCCTTTCACATTCGCTATCCACCTTCCATGTAACTACCAAACTGATATTGCTAAAGCATTCATCTGACCATGCCACTCCTCGCTCAGGAAGCTTCAACGGTCCCCATTACCTCTGGGAACAAATAGAAACTTCTGTCTAGCATTTAAGGCCACACACTAGCTTTCCAGGCTAATCAGACATTTGTTCCTAATCATGCACTCTCTACTCAAGCTGATCTGGCTCACTTGCTGCTCCTGGTACACAACTCTCCATTTCCCATCTCCACTCCTTTGCCTAGAATACTTTCCCTCCTATCCCCTGATTCTTGGAATCTCCTATCTTCCTTTAAGGCTCAACTCCTACAAGAGAGCTTCACTGATTTCTTCCAGTTGTTATGTCTCTGGAACAAATTTGAATTTATTGTGTATATGCCTAGCCTGATCTGGTTCCCCGGGGCTCCCAAATGAACTCTGGTGGGGAGAAGATGAACTACCTTTTCTCTCTTCCTCTACTTTGAGACATCTCTCCCCTGGCTTCATCCGCCCTATGAACTTCCCAGCTCTGTCCTCCTCCACCTTGGCTCAAAGCCCTGGGGACAGCCCTCTAACACTGAGTGGTAAATGAGAGCAACTGCAGGGCCAGGCTTTAAGCAGCAAACACCTTACACCCACAGCAACCTTCCCCACCTCTGTACCAGCCCCTCCCTGGTACATCTCCTTCCTATGTTCCCTTCCCTCAGACTAAACTACCTCCTTGACCCACAAGGAAAATTAATTTGAATAACAGCAATCACAAACAAAAGCCACCCATGTCAAACCTTCCAGCATCCTTTTTGAATGTCTGCTGTCTGCAGTTGGATTATTTTTTTAAAAGGGCCTAATCTACATTCATCTATTTAGTTCTTACTACCACTGTGCCAGCCTGATGGCAGAGCTGACATCTCTGTTGTTAACACTTATGGATTTTTATCACAAAGAAGCAGAAATAAGGAAAGCAGTGATTATCCTGATAAACAGTATTCTCATATGTGATTAACTTACTTCTCAAAGAATCAAAAAGGAGTGTAATATGTTTCATGACAAAACTATACTGAATGTAATTTAATTTGTTTAATGACTCAGGATCCTACCAATTCATTACAAATACCAATTACCATTAACCATGTCACTAAGTCATTGTGTACCCTTAGGCAAGAGCCTCTGGTCTCAGTTTCCTTACTTGTTAATAAGGAAAACGAGCTACCTAAATTAGACAGGTTCCAAGGTCCCTTTCAACTGACATTTTACGGTTCTACTGTGAGCGTAGGGGAAGTGCCTCTTAATAGAGATTTGTGGTTGGTGACTTTTTTTTAAATGACAAAACATACCATATGTCCTTTATTTAGCCACAATTCATCACAGTATCTTTTCGAGAGAGAGATATATATTAATACTTTCATCTCAAAGTTGAAGAAAATGACATTCTGAGATACCATACCAGATAACCTGTCTAAAGTCTTGCTCAGCCAATGATGGGACTGGGTCTTTTGACTCCTAGCCCATCTATTTTTTTAAATCACCGGGCTAGAAGGATCAGCCAAAACTATGAGAAGGGAAACTCCTCATCACTGTGAAGATGTTGAATCAGAAGCTTCAAGACTACACAGTACTTCTGTGATCTCTCCAGTCCTCAGCTTCCTCACCTGTAAAATGGGAGAGTTGGGCAAAATGACTTCAAAAGTCCCTTTCAATTTTAACTCTATGGCCCCATAAATCATTTGTTGGGATGATGTGAAGAGGCTCCATTCTTTGAGGAGAAGGTTGGACTATATTACTTTCAGCTTCTTTGCCAAATGGAATATTCTGTGATTCATGACAGAATAATTAGTGGCATAGTAGAAAAAAGTCATATACCTGAGGTTGGAAATCTGGGTTCAAAGCCAGGCTCAGTCACTTCTAAGATGTGTAACCCAGAACAAGTTACTTCATTTCTCTAGACCTCAGTTTTCTCATTTGTAAATTAAACAGGGTAGACCAGAAGACCTCTAAGGTCACTTCCAGCTCTACTCTTCAGGGTTTGGATGAAAAGGTAAGACACTTTAGAGCATTTAGAGACCACAAGGGAAATACTGAGCCAGGCTCCTAGGCGACCACTCCACAGACTGAGAATCAGAAGACCTGCGTTTATTCCCATCTTCGCCATTAGCTTACTGGTATGACCTTGGAGGCGTCACTTTCCTTTTTTGTGCCTCAGTTTCTTTAGCTGTAAAATAAAAGAATTTGCCTAGATTTCCTTTAAAATTCTAAGGTCCCTTTAATCTTCACCACAAATCATAAGTACTTCCTTGTTAAGAATTTTCCTGTACCATGCCCACAATGGTAGGTCTTGGTTCTCAGCGCTCTCCCTACCTTTTTCTTGACCATTACTGGTTGAGGTTAGCCCGTTTACCACTGTTTTGGAAATTTCGACTTCACATTCTGAAAAAAGAACAAGAGAGAAGACAAGGCAGTACAGAAGAGATGAATAGCAGCACATTCAGTTCAATCTGCAAACCACTCCTGTGTTACCTCAGACAGTGTTTATCAAGCTTGGAGTTACCATCCCTAGAGTACTAAGAGGAATGTCTGATGCAGCTGTGTAACCTGGAACTGTGAATCTGTTACCCAATAACAATCCCATGGGGAGATGGCAGTGAAGGTGTGTGTTGTGGGGAGGGGGCGGAGAGGAAGATGCATGAATGTGAATGAAATAAGCCAGCCTCTCTTCCATCTAGACCAGGGGTGGGGTACCTGCGGCCTCCAGGCCACATGCGGCCTTCCAGGTGCTTGGGTGCAGCCTTTTGACTAAGTCCAAGTTTCATAGAACAAATGCTTTTAATAAGAGGATCTGTTCTGTGTAGTTTGGATTCAGTCAAAGGGCCACACTTGAGGACCTAGAGAGTCACATGTGGCCTCAAGGCCCAAGGTTCCCCACCTCTGATCTGGACCCACCCTCTCTGCAGTCTCCTTCCTATCCTTTAAAAAATATGTTGAAATACTATGAGGGATATTAAAACTAACAGTTTTTTGGTGATATCAGCCCCTAAGACCAACTCATAGCATTCTGGGGTGGGGAAGGGAGATCATTCAACTAGATATAGAAATAATAATAGTTCATATTTACATAGCATTTCCCAGTTTACAAAGTCCTTTCCTCACAATAATCCTGTGAGGTGCTTTGAAAGTAACAAGCTGAATTTACTGGGTATTTTTAAAAAAATCAAGCCATGTAGTTTTCTACATAATCTTCTTTTTTCTGTTCTACTTTGCACATGGAAATGCTCCCCTTTTTGTGTGTATTCAAGAGCAGAATAAAAAAAAAGCAATTACCCAGGGAGGGAAATACGTAAGTAATATTCCAATTTTACAGATAAGGAAAAGTTTTGATACCCACCTGTTGTCATATGGCTAGTAAGGAGAGGACCCAGTACTCAGACTTTTGTCACCAGACATCCAGTAGAATGTAAGTTACTTGGGAGGAGGATCGCTCGTTTTTCTTTTTTAAATTTTGTCTCTCTTTCCCCACTATCTAGCATAAAGCACACTGTAGGTGCAACTAGAGTCAGAGGACCCAGGTTCAAATCCCACCTCTGACAGCTGTGTAATGTCAAACAAATCTATTACCTTCTGAGGCCCCATTACACTCTCTATAAATGAGGAGGGTGGTCTCAATAGCATCTAAAGACACTTCTAACTTTAGGACTAGGATCCCAAAATCCTCATGCAGCAAAGGGAACAGAGAACTAGGTCTTGGAGTGAAAATAACCTGGGTTCAGGTCCTCCCCACTCTGATACACACTGGCTCAGTGATTGAGGGAAAGTTACTTAACCTCTCTGTGGCCCAGACAAGTCTCTAAGACTAAATTATAGAGCAGGTGGGGAGCTGTATTGGTAGAGGAAGTTTCTTATACCAACTAAATTATAGACCCAGACATATATAAATGCTGAATTGCACTGAAGTTTCATTATATTATATTCTCCTAGGACCATGAAGATACCCCTTTTTGGGAGGAAGGGTTGAAGGACTGGGTATGGAGTTGTAAGAAGAATTTTGAGAACCATTATTTTAGAGTAGAAATCCAGCACCCCCTGCTCAGCTCCCAATGGTGGTGCTCCTAGCTGTCACCCCCCTCCCTCCCATTCATCTTTTTTCCCCTTCTCTAATTGGGAAAGTACACTCTGGAATCACTGTGATGGCTACTATCAAAACAGCCCAAGCCCACCAATCTCCAGATGCCTCTCTAGAACTGGGGTAACACTTCTTCTATCGCCAATTCTCCATTTCTCAGATACCCTACCACCATTGCCTCCATCACTCTTGTACTCTCTCCATGGCATACTTACCATGGAAAACTCCTGACCTTTGTGATACAGCTGATAGTCTGGGGCTAAGATGGCTGAATCTATTGACTTCAAACCAAATGGGTTCATCTTTGCAGCCTGATAAAACATGGGCCACATACCTCCTCTACACATACCAACATTTCTATCTGCAGCCCTCCTTGAAGCCATTGGTATTTCGTACCATTCTCCTCTTTCACTTTGCATCTTAGGAAGATGTGCAAACTGGGAGTATATCCAAGGCACATTCCATCACTGGGGATGAAGGGGAAGATATACTTCCCTTTGAGCATCCCTTTAACCAATATACTCATAACAACTATGGGCCCCATCTACTTGGGCCAGCTAATTTCGCTGGAAATAAGAAACAGCCACATGGGCCTCAGAGGAGTATGATGATAGTAATTGACATTTTCATAGCACTTTAAGGTTTGCAAAGTGTTTTTCACACATTATTGCCCTGGAGTCCCAAAACAATTATAGGGTAAGTATTATGGGTACTATAATATAGATGAGGACAACGAGACTGAAAAAGATTAACTACTTCTGAAGAACACACAGCTAGTAAGCCAATAAAGCAGAATTCAAACCCTAGCCTTTCTGACTCCAAGTCCAGTGCTTTATCGGCAATACTATGCAGCCACCCTACTTTGCAAGAAGAACCAGAAAGTTCCAACCAGACTTACCAGAGCTCATGATTGTAGAGGGGCTGGTTTTCAGCCAGGCACTGGTTTTCTCTCTGTGAAAACAAACAAACAATCTTTTTGACTTCAAGGAATAAAATAGACTTCAGGGAGAATCTAGAGAATACAGAATCTTAAAATTTAGAAGAGGCTTCATAGATTATTTTTAAAGTAAATTGGTTGTTGTCCTTCAATCTCAAAGAGGACCAAAATGATATCACTATGTTACAGTCAAAGTACAATGTGTTTTACTGTGGCTGATCAGATCAATACAAGTTCAGAAGGCTTTATCACAGGTAGGATACAAATAGACTTTAGGGAGGATCCAGAGAATATAGAATATTAAAATTTAGAAGAGACCTCACAGATTATTTTTATGTAAATACAACCTTAAAAATAACTAATCTAGTCTGCTATCCTCTTCCACTTTATGAGTGAGTTTAAACCATTCACAGTTATGATTGCTGTATGTATTTCCCTACATTCTTCTCTTATACTTTTCCTTCTCTTTCTCATCCTCTTTAAGAATTTGTTTTCCTTAAAATTCTTCCTTTAATGTGTCCTTCCTCTAATCTTCCCCTTTGTCTTCTCTCCTTTCCTTCCTATTCCTTTGTTGAGTGAAATGTATTTCTGTGTACATCTATTTCCCTCCTTTGACCAGTTCATATGAGAGTACATTTCAAAGGTCACCTCTTCCCTCCATCCTTTCCTCTTGGTTTGAATAGGCTTTTATGTCCATACCTCAATTTTGTAAGATACTTTTACCCATTCTTCTTTTCCCTTCCCCACATCCATTGTATTCCTCTACCTTTTCCTTCCATTTTCATTTTAAGATCATCAAAACATAATGAAACCATTTCCAGACCCTGTATCTAAATAGATTCTCTCTGTGACCTGATATGTGAAAACGATAGAGTTCTGAGGAAATGTATGTCATATCTCCATATTAGGATATAAATAGTTTATCTTGTTTAATCCCTTTTGATATTTCTCTTGACTCCTGTGTTTACTCTACTCAGCCCTGATCTTTTCACTAATAATGCTTAGTAGCCCTCTGTTTTATTAAAAATCCACTTTTTATTGTAGAATTATACTCAGTTTTTTGGGGGTAAGTTATCTTTGGTTGTAACCCTGACTCTTTTGCCTTCTGGAATATGGTATTCCAAACTCTTTGTGCCATCTTGTATGATCCCGACTACAGTTACACAATACTGGAATTCTTTCTGTTGAGCTACTTTCAGATTTTTTTTTTAAACTTGGAAGCTATAGATTTTGGTTATATTGTTCCTAAGAGTTCATTTTGAGGTTTCTTTCAGGAGGAGACTGTTGAATTCTATTTCTACTTTTCTCTCTGATTCTAAGAGATCTGGGCAATTTTCTTTTATGATTTTTGGAAATATGATGGCTCTTTTTTGGTCCTGGCATTCTGTTAGCCCAACGATTCTCAAATTAGCTCTCCTTAATATATTTTCTAGGTCCATCTTTACTATGAGATACCTAACATTTTCTTCTAGGCAGAGAGGTGGCACAATGGATAGAGTGCTAGGATCGAGTCACGAAGACCTGAGTTTAATTTCAGCTTCAGATGCTCTTCTGGGCAAGTCACTCAACCTCTATCTGCCTCAGTTTCCTTGACTGTAAAATGGGAATAACAGCACCTGTCTCACAGAATAGAATGAGGTATTTGTAAAGTACTTGGTACTTAGTAAGCACCTACACATAGTAGGTACTCAATAAACGCTTATTTCCTTCACCCTTTCCCCTCTTCTCCCCCCCCCACCCTTTTCTATTTTTTTAAATCTTTTGACTTTGTTTTAATATTTCTTTTGTTGTCTCATGGGGCCATTAGCTTCAATTTGGTCAGTTTTAATTTTCAGGGAGTTTTTTTTCCCCCTTGGGTAAGGTTTTATAAATCTTGTTCTAAGCTGCTAAATCTCTTTTCATATCTTTCTTCCATAACTCTCATTTATTTTCCCATTTTTCTCTTCTAGGGCTTTCATTTGGTTTTTAAAATAATTTTTTGCTCTTTTTTATAATCTCTTACTTCATCTTTTCCAGGAATTCTGATTAGACTTGTGTCCAATCCTTGTTTTTCCTTGAGTTTTTGTACATATTTTGGAGCTTTTCTCTTCTCAGTTTGTGTCTTGGGAATCCCTCTCACCATAATAGCTCTTTATGGTGGGATTCTTTGCTTGATCATTCTTCCAGATTACTTCTTCACTTTAGACTTGATGTTAGGGCTGAGCTCTGCACACTTCTGGGAGAAATGTATGGGCTGGGGGCCTGTAATCTTTTAGTGATGACAAAATGATCTAACCCCTGAGCACAAGTCCCCTTTTCAATCTGCCCTAGATCTGTGACCCAGAACTGTTAGTGAATGACAAGTTTCTGTACTCTGCACAAGGCTGAGGTGTTCTGGTGTGGGTCTGAGATTTTGTCTTGCCCCAGGACATAGCCTCATCCTCTTTCAGTCCCTGTACACTAGAATGCTCTGTGTGGCATTCCCCTGGCCAGACTCAATGCCCAGTGTCCACAGATCTCTCTGTCTCCCTATGGCAACCTGCACTAGAAAAAAATGACTCACTCTGATTTTTTTTCTTGGATTTCCTGATTGGGACTTGATCTGATGCATTTTCTAGATCTTTGTGTAGACGTGTTAGAAGAGCTGGGCTATACTTCTTCCTCCTACTCCAGTACCTTGGCTCCACGACAATGGCTCAGTTTACTAGCAAATTCAATTAACCCAAATACACTACTGCCTGAGCATCTTGATTAATCACAATTTTACTGTGCCCAAGTCACATTTGCATCTCTTATTCAGGTTTCTCTGCAACACTGCAGTGACCCCCAAAGGATACTCATTACCAGAAATGGATGCTATAAGGCAACTTTCATCAGAAGACAACAGTGTTGGTATGTGGCACCTGGCAGTATTTGGGGATCAACTGGTACTATTATTTCCCACCCTATGTTACCTTAAGCAAGTTATTTCACCTTTGTGTGTCTCATTTTCCTCATCGAGTCAGACTAAATCATCTCTAAGGTTCCTTCCATCTCTAAGTTCTGTGATCCCATGAGCAGAGCAGTGACTACAAAGGGGAGTAAAGGGAATAGTAAGACGGACAGAATGCCCTGCCTACCTTGGCTGCACAGGTCAAATGTCCTTGAACAGTAATAGAAGACAAGTTCCTGTTCCTGATGCCCTTCATCTTCCAATGTTTGACATTGTCTGGGATCTCTCCAGCCTATAAGATGGCCGGTCCATGGTTTCTGTGATGGGCAATGTGGTGTGCCTCACAGATACTATTCATATGATGGCTGTGCTATTGCAGCTTCCTGGAGATTAATCATTTCTGCTAAACTCACAAGCGTGAGGACTTAGAGTAGTAGGAGATACAGAATCTCAAATATGATATTAGCATTGCTGATATAATAGGCTATTTGCTAAGAGAAAGTCACAGAGTGGCCAGCAAGGATGACAATCAGACAATATACCATTTGGTTTTTAAAAATAGTAATCTAGGTTAGACTTTGAGGAAATGTGAACCACTTGAAATAGACTAAATCTTGGTATTCATAAATCTGTCAGGTCTTTAGTTAATAGCTGGCTGATGCCTAAAGAAATGAAAAGGAAAAATAATAAAACCAATGTTGAAAATTTTGGGGAACTACTCTGCCAGCTTTTAAATCAGTTATATGGTAAATAATAAGGCAAACAAATTCATATAGACGGTATCTGCACTCCCAAAGTGAGGAACAGTATAGGTTTACCTCCTCCCTTAGAAAAGACTCAAGTGTGGATATGTTATATGTGTGTACGTGTGTGCATGCGTGTGCACAGCCATGAGCATAGTGCTTGTAAATCGAATTCTTGCGTATCAAAATGTATTTGCTCATTGAGTCGTGTTGGAAAATTGTAACTGTGCTACTCTATAATTTTTTGGAAAGGAGAGGGATAAAACTACATAAAATTGCACTCAAAGCAGCAGCAAACCTTTTAATAATCTCGATTTTATAGGGAAAATGAGAATTTTTATAAAATGGTAATTACACAAAGAAGCTGAGATTTCTTCAGTGCAGGGAATTCCTGGTAGGGGAACTCCCTCCACCAATCTGTCTGTGACTGAGTAGATAAGTCTACAGTGAGGGACAAATTAAGTTACTTGCTCAGGGTCACACAGCCAATAAGCGTCAAGAGTTATGGAAGCAGCAGGCTTCCTGACTAGGACCAGTGCTCTCTCCGCTCTACCATAGCAGCCTCTCCTAATAGTAATTACTATACTCCAATTAAGTCACACACCATGACTGCATCACATTAGGTAGGGTTATTTTTATATGGGGAACAATAGCTGAGTAGTCTATGGGAAAACAAGTGCTTATCTGAATAGAACACCGCAGACTGGAAAGCCACTCAGTTTTTATCATATTCCTCTGCACGACACTCATGAGTAAGATAACACATAACAACACTCTGGCTTACAAACCTTTCTCCCCTCCCTCCTCCCTCACTAAACAGATGGAAAAACAGAAACCTAACAAAGTCGGATTTGCCCTGAGCCCCACGGTCAGTTTGTGACCAAGCCCGGACTATGGTTCAGGTGCCCTGACCTTGAGGCCAACGCTCCTTCCTCCACATGATGCTGACTGTTTAGAAGCTGTTTCCTTGACATGGAGCTGCCTGTCTCTAGAGTAAACATAATTATCTGGGCTGAAGGGAGGAAGAGATACACAAATGTAGACACACAGATAAATACAACCAGGGCAAGGATTCAAATTGCAGCAGCAGAAGGATAAACAGAAGAGCACATCGACAAGAACGTTCACAAGGAGCTTCTGTGAAGACACATGCATTCATAGGATAAGATTTAGAGCTGGAAGGGCCCGTCTAGTTAGAGGTTCTTAACCTTTGTTTGTATCATGGACTGTGTCCCCCCTTTTGTCAGTCTATGGACCTCCTACATATTGTTGGATCCCTAAGATCTCCGAATCTCTCAGCTATCATTGTACCCATAAGGAAGGCATGGATTTGATAGGACAGAACTTGGAAAATGATGTG